GGTGGATTTTTTCTTAGTGTTCGATATTCGTATTCATAATTATAAAAAACTAGTGGAGTACGCTCTTCGCTAGCAACCCATTTACACGTCCCACTTCTGGACACGGGTCTCTTCTCAGGCGAGAGGCTTTAGGCCATAGTTCGCCACGCTGGCCCAGTGCGAGATGGGAACTTCACGTTTTCTGAGGATAGATAGATACACAGCCACAGCCGCACACATGTCGGTATAGCATTATGTAACTTGTTGCTTAAATGTTTTTGCGCTGTTTTTGTGTTATTTCTGTTCTACTTATATCAGTATTTTTCTGTCTTCCTTTTTATATGTAGCGTTGCAATAAATGGTTTCTATTTCTATTTGATAGACAAAAACACTATTCAGTAGTATGACACAAATGCAGATTGAATACAACAGGAAAAATAAAACATTTTTTGGCGCTGGTTTTCAGTCAGAACCAACGAAAGGTACTAAACCTAGAAGTTATTTGTAATGAATGACCTAATAAACGACTAGAAGGGAAATTGTTTATTAAATGTAATAAAGTGCGGATAGTGAATCTAAAAGTAACGTATTCAATATGTAAGTGCAAGTTGCATGAATAATTTTTTATCTTTTACCCCATAACTATCACTAAAGTGTATAACCACGATGGCTCCGACTCACTCTTTGGTATCGCCTAACTGAACACTGTCTCGTAAGACAGACATTTGTCTAGTTTAGGAGCCAGAGTCCTTAAATTTGTTACGCCTTTTCTACCTGTTTGTTTTATTTTATTTTTTTTACATTTCGAACCAGTAAATATCTTCTCTGTACTGTAACTGTAAGTAAAAATAATGACTGAATATGTTTTAATAAATCAAAGTAAAAATGTATATTTAGAAAGGTTACGAAGAAGTGTACATGGGGATTTGAAAACTAATATTAATATTCAAATTTCAACAAATTACACAGGTTTTTTGTAACGAGTGTAGGAGTTGTCAGTAAAGTACTCTGAATTTCTGTTTGGACGACTCGTCACGTATAGGTGGTGGAATATTATTCCAGCATTTTGAAGCCGAATTGAAGGATTGAGAACTTTCTTCGACGATGTATTCCTTCACCAAAAAGCTCATGGTACATTTTAAATTAAATTCTGAGAAACTCAGGGTCGTATTCTAGAACTCTACTCAATGCTCTAGTCAGGACTTGAGTATGATTCAAAGCACTAGAAATCATACGCAAGTCCTTGTCATTAGGGTCGTATTTCCAGTGCTTGAAATCATACTCAAGGCTGCTCAAATCCTGACTTGAGCATTGAGTAGAGTTCTGGAATACGACCCTAAGAGGTGCGAGCCCGAACTCACGACCTCTGCTTGGGAGGCGGTATGTCAAAAATTGTCAAATATATTCCAATATTATGGTTGTAAAAGACATTTTTTTCATTTCAAGTGACGGAATGAACGAGGTATAAGCTACACGCCTATCCTTAACAGTTGCAGTGCCACTCAGAGCTTTAAATCGCAAAGATCTGAAGAGCGCTACCACAACGCCCGTCACCCTGAGACATAAGTTGACAAGTCCCATGTGCCTGTAATTTCACCTGCAACCTTACCCTTCAAAACCGGAACATAGTAATGCTGACATTTATGGCTTGGTGGCAGAAATAGGTAAGGTGGCAGTACTGCCCTGGACGAACACTTTCACAAGGAGCTCTACTGCTACTAACTTAAATTAAACTTTGATTTAAAAACTTATAGTTAAAAAAACTTAAATTAAATGTTAAATAACTTAAATTAACAATGAAGGCATTTTTATATACTTATTGTATTAAGTTTGCATTGGTACATACAAAAACGGATTTATTTTTATTTATTTATTAACCTACACTATAGTGTCGCTACACTACAGTATACTGACATTCAATTATATTTACTTAAACTATAACATCAGCGTATATAGCATCTAGTATATAGCATCATCTTTTAAAGGCCTCTTTTCCTCTTGGCATTTTCTCTTGGTAACCATTCTGTTACCTTTCTGGTCCACTTTTCTATTCTTTCCCTGCACATGTACACACCACTAAATTGGAGGATGTCACCAGAAAAAGCAAAACGCTAAAGTGGACGTGGACTGGCCACATGTACAGGGAAAGAATAGAAACGTGGAGAAATGTCGATACGAAAATTCATAAAATAATTATAATATTTTTAATGAACAAATGAACTCTTTATTGGACATTAAGTATAGGTACCATGACAACACTGAACATTAATGTAATACTATATAATATAAATAATAATAAGATTAAATTGTACTAAAAATAACCTAGAAAATGCTATCCAATTGGGTTGTCTTACTCATTACAAGGCATACACTTACGACCTGGAGGTCGTAAAGGTTGGAACCTTTAGCTGCGAATGATATGTTTTCTTCATGGAGGGCTGAGTGGAACAAAAGTAAATACACTAAGGGCAAATATTTCGCTGAAATCCAAACATGTATCGTCAAAAAGCCTTGGTTTTGAATCGTAATGGATTTAGTAAGACTGTAACGTCTACAGTATGCCGACTTTGTATTGGTCATGCCTGCACCCCGGTCCATCTGGCAAAACTTAGAGTATGGGATAGCTCAACTTGAGAATGTGGCCTGGATGAAGGCACCCCAGACCAAATATTTTTCGGCTACCCTTCCAGAACAAGTCCTATTTATGATAGACTTCCACCAGAATGTGGAAAGTGGAGGAGGTAGAAACCTCGCCCCATAAATTTTAAGTTTCTGATACGTTTTTACAAATACCCTCCTAGAATTAATAACTGATTTTATTAGTACCAACAAATTTAAATTATAAAACTTATTTATTTAAATATCTGTAATGGTGATGATATATTGTGTTGTTCTGTTTTGTTCCAGAAGCCGGAATAGACTAAAGAGCAGTGTTAATCAATTAAACATCTAAAAAACTAAAGTGTAACTCCCATGACTGACTTGACATTGGCAAAATTCTTTAAGAGAAGCCAGAAACTTAAAAATAGAACAGTTTACTATAACGTGCAACAGACAGCCTTCTTAAGTAGCAATTTATTCTATGCAATCTTTATCTTAAAGTTTACAAAGCATTTCCCAGAAATGCATATATTTTTACCTATGGTATTCCAAACTCAGCAGCCATTGCAGATCCTCTAAATAGGCTGCTGCCCCCAGTAGCCAATCATCAATAGCACCAAAGACACTGTCATCAATTGGCGGCCTTTCATACTCAGTCAGTTCTCTCTTTTCAACCCAAAAGGGGTCCTGAAAAACAATTTATATAAGTATTTCTTTTAATTTTTTGCTAAAGAATTATTCAATAATTCTAAAATATCTTAATTCACAGGTAAATATTTAAAATTGCACATCATTAGACACTGAGAAAAACAAATAAGATACTCTAAAATTTCATAGTGCCCACGGACTCCTTCCTTTGAAAAGATGAAGAACTTCTTGCGGTGTATGTATAAACCTATGCAGGTTTTTATTGTGCCACCAGTTTTAGATTAATAAATATATTATAAAATTTTTAATAATAAATAAATAAGAAAGGTTCACGGATTGCATTGATGCGCATCTTGCTCACTCCTGTAATGGATAGCCGCCAAAGGGTGTGAAAATTATAAGGGTCACATGCACTGCATTTATTTACTCACAATCATACTAATGATTGCATTAATAAATATATTGATGTTAGGCATTCATTACACGGACTTCTTAGGGGTCCATGGACCACAGGTTAACATACCCAGCTCTAGGCGTTGTGATGTAGTGAAAATGGCGATGCCAAAAATTGATTGAATGGGTGCTCATATCTACCAGAAGTATCTAAGGGAAATAAGCGAAATAGTCTAACTTTGGAACCTGATAATTTTTCTAGTCTAATTTCTTTTTTTTTATTATGTTATGTTGGTAAACCTGCTGTATGTAAGTTTAGAAGGGCAAAGGTCAGGCATAAAAGGGCTGCATTACTATTAAAGAAAGATTTTTCAATAAAGTAAACTTTAACAATAAATGGCTCTTTAAACTTTCAGTCATCCAATACACTTTTTTCTTTTTTTACCAAATAAGTAGTGTTTTCATACACAAATAACATGGGCGGGAATAAAAAGTTCTATAACCTCTTAATTTTAATTTTAAGTTACAGAAACTTTCATAAAAATCACAAATTTATTTCTACAAAAAAAGGCAGTGTTGTAATTTCCAAACTTACACTAGATCCATTTTCACTCCTCTGAGTCAGCTGATATAGACAGCTGAGAGCTGATAGCAGAATACAAACAAGTAAAACCCCCAGAGACGATAAAATTCATTGCACCACATTGTTTAATAAAAAAAATAAACCTTTCTTACCAAAGCCTTAACTTTTTGTATAATGCCAGAATTGTTCACTGTCACTACCACGTCCTCCACCGGCAGATTATCCGGGTTCTATTAGACAAAATAAACACGAAAATTAACCGAATACAAAACGAGATGCATGAAATTCAAAGGATCATCAATTACCGAGAATACTCCAATTTCTTCATTCATTTCTTTACAAAAAAATTACAAAATAGCTAAAGTAAGCCGCTCTCGTAATTCAGCACCACTGTTAAAACTACTCACAACTTTTTATCACTGGAGAATTAGTTAGAAATATCGCAAAAGAATTGAAAAATTGCACACTTGTACACGAATTAAATTCTCATTCATTTGACATTGAAATTGAAATCTGAGTTCCAGATTATTTATCGTTGAAACGCCACGTTAAAATAGCAAAGTATTATAAGTTTGTAAGATTCTTCATTCTTGTTAGGTACACCGTGTCAACGATAAAGTTACGACATAAACTGCTGTTTGACATTTGTTAAAAATAAAATGAACATACATTATAAACCTTATAGTGTACAGTAAAGGTCGAAAGTCACAAACTCAAAATTATTAACCCTTCGTTTCAAGCTTAATTCTAGTCTCATGAGTGAGCTCTACAGCTATTCCATTACACAGACCATTTTATTATTCATACAACGAATATGCCCTTTAACGTCACAACAGTTTGAACGGTTTTTGTAAACATTTATGAAAAATTAAGAATATTGTAAATAAAAAGACATGAATGCGCCCGGTACCGACCCAAAAGTAAAGAAGATATTCGTAAGAAACTGCGAAAAGAAAATTACTTCCAAGACTCGTAAAGAAGTAATACGAGATGTTGATCAAAAATCAACGGATCCCGGCGAAGAGGATTCTTCAAGAATTTCCCATAAAAATAATGTACTGAGTGAGCCTACATTGTGTTCAAGCGTAACTTTGGCTAATTATTTGGCTGATGTGAAGAGGTCGTTACCACCATTGCAATCTAATGATGATTTGAGCGTTGACACAGGAGAGTTATGCAGTAAGGTAAAACCCCGTTTATTTTAAGTTATATCTTACCTACCAGAAAACATGTCTTATCTCCATTATAGTATCTGTATTACATTTTATTTCATAGGAAACTGATAAACAATATTTTAAGCACACCTGCAAAAGAATTTATTATTGTAGTAAATTTGACTGGACCATGTACAATATTACAACATGTTAATGCATTAACAATTTTTTTTTAAATTTTCAGATGACAAAGAAACTAAACTTTCATGTCAATAACAAAATGTACAAAAACTTAATAGAATTAAACGCGAGCATCGAAGAAACCAAAATCAGAAAGGACAAGAGACCAACAAGCACAGCAGGGTCAGCTAAAAGAGATCTTGAGCCTGACATAGAAGACTTCTGCAATGATGAGAAAGAAACAGACTTACCGCCAAAAATAACAATAGTAAAACCAAAATTTAAACCAATCAAGAGTGTTGAAGATGGGCACCTGCATAAATTAGTTGCATCATTTGAACTTTTATGACAAAACAATTTCATTTAAATAAATATAAAATATTTGTGTAGATATAATAATGTATCATTTCTCCCTCAAATATTACCAAATTGAGGTATCTTTTACCAAACACTATTCAAAAAAGGATAGCGGTCCAGAACCTATTGTATATTAATACTACAATGTACTTCTGTATGTTAAGCCACAGGTGAAACTATATAACTTTGTCATTATTTTTAACTATATTGAATGCTAAAGTAGGTAAAGGTATAAGTTTTCAAGAATGAGTTAACAAATTGTATGTCATATTATGTGGCCTACTGGCCATTGTCGGTGATGTACCAATTTACAAGGCAAAGCGTTCTACAGTTTTGCTTTCATTATGTTATTCATCATCATTAAGTATTAGGCGTAATATAACAAGTGTTATTGTATGTATACTATAGTAAAGGACGGATAATTGTAACGTAGTTTGTTTATGAGTATATCCTAAAATTTACAGAACGATATTTCAACGCACAAGGGATTACCCTTATACATTATTAGCAAGATTTTGTTTATTTACTGGCAACAATGTACTTTGACGACACAATATAAAAAGGCGCATCGCTTGTAAATGATTATCAATTCGCAAACAGTTCGGCTGCGGGTCGTAACGGAGCATACACGGAACGCGCCGACTCGCTCGCTCTGAAAGAAAGAGAACGCCGCTCTTCTTTCACCTGAATTTTGCCAATATTTCACTCTGTTCCGTTCCCCATTCATTCAGTCAATTTCCGACTTTTGAACGTTGTGGTTGTGGATTCACGATTTAGTGGAATTTCCAAGATTTTAATAAGATTTCAAACAGAATTCAATAAGAATAACGTAACATCGCTATGGCTGAAACGGAAATAATATCTAGTAGTGAAAATAATGACCAATTTTTCGAGGGTGTTGAAAAGCTCATCGAAATTTGGTTCACGCCAGAGAAAAATGCGGACCTCAGGAAAATTAATCGGTGAGTGGAAATAAGTTATCTCGCAGGTCCTCGGTTATGTTTTACATAATATAGGTTACCGGCGAACTGGTTAAAAAAGAGAACCTGTTCTGTGAGCCGCGAATCTGTGTTTTTGGCAATTAAGAAACTTGTTCACAAAACGGGTAATCGTCATGGTTAAACTCGGAGGTTATACGAAGAATATCAGGGCTTTATGGTATTTGTAGATTTTTTTATATGGAATATTCTGGAATCAGCTGTTTGCCTATTTTGATCGGAGTATACCGGCGGCGGGCAGTGGTTGGCCGGAGGCCACCGATGCGCCTTCGCGCGCTATTCGAAAATATTTTCATTATAAACCTCATGATACTGCAGTCAATAAGTTCCGTAAGTCCTGTAAATTTACTACAAAATTTTAAAGAAACTTTTCTATTTTATTAGTTCTAATTCAGAGATTTAGTGTATACCTAACTCTATCTCTTGTACAAACATATTTATAGAAAGGAAAATTTGCAGGCTTTTATAATATTAAATATGTAAGCATAGTTCAAATTTACTGTGAATTATTCAACCTTGAAATTATATAAAAGTAAAGTTTTCTTATTAGTACATGATTCATAGCTTGTTTATTGTGCATGAATTACAGTGGATTTTTTTTTAATATTGAAAAGGAATACATAACAAAGTATTTTCACACTTTATCAGCTTGTGATGTGCATTATTTACTTGAAAATTCTCAACATTGAAATTTGGTTAATGGGCACACCTACAATTTTTACTTTTAAGTTTTTAGTTACTGTTACTATATGACACTATATAAGCTTTTTCTATGGGTCAGCGTTAATATAAAAAAATATAATAACTCAACATAATATATAAATGATATAATATACATATGTGAAAATTCACATAATTTTTTCAAGCATAATTTACACTTATATAATCTATTTTATAGCTTTGGCACAAAATTTAAACACAGAATATCTTAAAATGAATAGTTACAATTTGATGAAACTGCAGTACATTTTATGAGTGATACATGGATATAAAAAAATACACTTAAGAGTTGAAATGAATTTTAAGAATCAACTAACAATTTAAGAAACAACCATATACAACCAGTCAACCGTGACCTGTAAAGAGCCCGAAACATTGGTTTGTTCGAAAAAACAAATATACGTGATTTGAAAATTACTTTCATTAAGAATTTTAATTTTCATCTTCATGACAATCTTCAAGATAAAGACTGCATAATTTTGCTGTGGGCATTGACTTACAATTATATGGACGTCAGGTGCGCGCTAAGAAGTGTCCGAACTTATAGGGTGTTAAAATCGTATACAGAGCGTCATTCACGCTTTAGTCTTCGTTTGTTTGACTGACAGCGAAGCAAGCAAAATTAGACAGTACTGCGATGACATTACAATTTAAAAGCTTTTTCATATTCCTTTACATGTCACTACGTTTAAATAGTTTGACTTGGGACATTTTTTTCGTGGTTTTTGTATTAGACTCGTCGTCCATTTATTTGTAAGTCAATGGCTGTGGGTACTTAAATATCATTGTATTATTCATGTTTATTGTGTATGTAAATTAAGTAACTTTATGTTATATTAATTTTATACCATATACATTAACAAATTTTAGTATTTTGTTATTTTTGTTTGAACTGCAGCACCAACCTACTGTTGTTTTTTTCTGTTCCGTCAAAAGGCTGATAGGTAATTCTTTATGGCATTAAGTCATTGTATGGTGCAAAACAATTTAAATAAATAAATCATTTTAATATCAAGTTTTGGTAAAAAAAATTGTTTAAAACATAATTCTTTTGTTGTGAGCCTTCCGGTAATGGAGACATAAGACTATTTACTGTTTGTCAATTGTCGTGGACATGTAAATATTTTAAATTGAATAACAGTGTTGCAGACTGTTCAAATCTATAGCATAACATATATGCTTATTTTGAATTAGGGCCAGTTCTCAATCAAATCAAAATCTGGCCATTTATAATTTTATTGAAAAATAACCAGTGTTTCGTTTGTTTATTAGTTAAATCATGTGAATATATATTTGTGCTAAAGAAGTGTTTTATTTATCTATTATGTCCTGTCCTATTTGGAAAAATGAAAATCCATATATATTTTTAAGACTTTAAAGGCCTACAATATAGGAATGCATTAGTCTTGCATTACAATAAAATAATAAAATTGAACAAAATCCAGATTATTTAAATAATAAGAGATTTCCATATTACATTCTTGTTTTTTAATTAAACAATAGGATGTTCAATAACTTTCATTCGTTTACTGTGTTCTGAATAACGTTTGTAGCCTTTGCTGGACGAGAAGTTCGAGTAATCGTACGGGTGTGACGTCATTTCGGTTCGGTTTCGAATACGACACTTTTACATCTGTGCTACTCTCTCTGTGTGTTTTACTTGTGCATCTAAGATCGTTGCGATTTAAAGCTCTGAGTGATATTGCAACTGTTATGGATAGGGGTGTCGCTGACAACCAGGAGCACGACATGTTTGTCCCGTCACTAGGTGTTATGAATAAAATATAAAAAAGAAGTTTTCTTACACTTGCGTTAGCAATATTCAAGTAAATCGACTCATCCGAAGAACAGAGTCCGATGTGTGATGTCCAACGAAAAGAGGATAAATGCGTAATCTCGTTAATTCTCGATAAGAATTTTATATATTATTTCATTTGGGAAATATAAAATCGATCAACAGTCGATCTTATATCCACTGCTAAGAACAGCGAACGAAATGTACACTGTTTACAATGTACTGACATTAAGCAGTCTTGCACATAGGTCTTTGTTCTACGGATGAGTCGAAATAAGCCTTTTTACATCAGTTTGTCAGAATTTACTTTTTATGACTTTGTTTTAAATATATATTGGTCTTATCGGGAATCGAATCCGGGACCTCCTCGTCTACAGCTTGTACTGTATCTATATTAGTTGTTATCGTGATTAGTTTGACTAAAAAGCGAAATTAAAAATACGTATAACAAGTTGGGGTGGTTATTTATGGTCCAGACTGTCGAAAGAAAAGTTTTTACACGTTTTTTCCCCACGTTTGCCCTCCCTTTTTAGTGCGAATTCACGTTACTTACAATTGTTACACAAAAAAATTATGTACGTAGCTATTCATTCTATATTGTGATGCAAATAATAATACATTTTCGTCCAAATTCTACGTCCTTTGAAATTTAGACGACAAAAACCAGATTGACGACTGGATGGCAAAAATTCATGGTAGTGAGCCATTTAGCTCTTTCACAATGTTTATAATATTTGAAGTAAAGATTGAAAATGACAAATATATAGAACGAGCAAACTATACTTATTCTTCTTAGGACAATCTGTCTTATGAACAACTACTACAGTTTAATCAACTTGACGAATTCGATAGTAATTTATATGCAATAAAGATTTTTTTTATAATATCAAGAGTTAGGACGAGCAAGTCCTGATGGTAAGCTACACACCTGTCCATTACTGTTGCAGTGCCAATCAGAGCTTTAAATCGCAAAGATCTGAGGGGCACCGTCACTGCGCTCGTCACCCTGAGACATAAGTTGACAAGTACCAAGTGCCTATAATTTCACCAGCATCCTTACCCTTCTAAACTGGTACATAGTAATGCTGACATTACTGCATCACTGGACGAACTCTGTCACAAGGAGCTCTACTGCTACTATTAGATATATTTGAATTTGACCTCGGTGGACGGGAGATGATGTCCCGGGTTTGATTACCTATTTGGGATACGAACTTGTCCAAATTGGTTCCGATGTGAGTAATGCCCCGGAATTAATTTCATTGCCTTGCTAATTATAGTACAGGGAATTTCCCAGTTTGAGATCGTCAAGTCATTGCGCCACAGGAATCGAACCTGGACCTCTCATTTGAGAAGTAACCACTGTCATAAGGCCTTCAAATTAGAGGCTTATAGAAGCGCTGCAAAGCGGCAACCGCGCATAATTTTCATACAATATGTGGAAGCACACTCGCAGCGCCACTGTCGTGATACACCATTTTTGCAGTAACAATTTGGGTGCGTTCACATTATATC